AGAAGTATGTGAAGGTCATTTATTTTCTTCAGTTTATATAATCAACAGTGTAGATTATAATATTTGGATTTTTCGATAATCTTCTTGCCGTTTATCTCATTATTTTAAAAATTCATTTAAAAAGGCATTTTCTTTAACATAATTAATTATTCATATAATGATTCTATTATTATGACATCCAAGTCCCACGTGATAATTACATATACCGATGCATTTAACATATTCTAATTAGTACATTTCATAGGTATTATAAATATTTGAACATATTGCTTAAAGTAGCTAACTAAACATTTTATGTAAATAAATTTTTGTTAAATAAGTTTATGTAAATTTAGTAAAATTTTATTTGTAACGCCCTATTTAATCTTTTAAAATTGTATTTTCTACGGTAATACAGCAAATTACCTTTTAATAATAAATTAATGAAACTATATTATTTCTTTAATAATTATATAACTTTAATTAATATACAATTTTTAATTAATAAATATATCATGCAATCTATCAATTTAAAATTTTTTACATAAAAAACTTTTATAATATTTTTCTGATAAGAATTTTTTCTACCTATATTTTAAGTATCAGTAAATAATGAATACATTTTACAATAATCAATAATTAAAATATTACACGATAGTGTATACTAAACTCACATAATTTTTTTAAATATAAATAACAAATTTTTTATATAATAATAAAAAAATTTTAAATAAATTACATGACATTTTGTACGGTTTATATTTTGTATATATTATATAATGTCTTGGGTGTTTGTATATTTATTATTTTAATTATAGATTAGTGAAATTATAGTTAAATTGAAACGAATAAATAATAAATAATACAAAAATAGTTTGCAAACAAAACTAAAATCAAATAGCAAATCTTTACGAATCTACCAAATACAAACAAAATTTCATCGTATTGTAACGAAAATGTTCCTTATTTATATAGAGATTAAATTATTTAACAAGAAAACTGTAAATAAGTATTGATTATTGGCAATTCGATTCTATTTATTATTTAGAAACATTGTACATATATTTATCATTATCTAAACTTGTATTTGATTAACAAATTTATTCTAGATATATTCTAGCTTATCTACCTTTAAAATTTGATTAATAAATTTTATTCACACATTTTTTGTATCAAGACTAATGAAAAATCATTTTAAGACTAATAAATAAGTCTATTGAAATAAAAATAAAAGATTATCCATTCAGAGGGAGAGCGCTTTCAATATGCATTAGAACCTGTAATGTGTTCATATATATTCATTAAAATGCAAGCGCGTACGCGCAGACACACACACACACACACGCACACACACGCACGCACATTTATATATAGGAAGATCTGAAAAAATATTTTTTATTTGAAATTAGACGATAATGGAGATAGAAAGTTTATTGGAAATATCGAATCGGACGTTCACTTTATAATTCAACGGAGAAAAGTTACTAATCAAATTAAAGCAGCTTTGGGATAATCAGACTTTCGAAGATTTTTGCTTACCCAACAAAACATAATAAGTCAGCTGGAGCGAAAAATTCAAGTGAAATAAGTCGAACGCCCGCGTTGAAATCTTCCCAATAAAGAAAAGAGTGAGACAACAAGAACATAACATTTCAACCACTTGTCAACTCAACCCCTCGCTCCACACCCACTGGGAAAACTAGTCCGAGCCGGTTATCTCGCGCGTGCGCATTTCCTCGGTCCCGGTCGCCTCTCCCTCCCGCACCGCACGCTCTAGCCAGAGATCTTACCGTTTCCAAAACAGTCGACACGCTCCTGCCGAAGCGCCTCGAGCCTTAACCGACGCCTCGTGACGGGAGTAGTCAGGAGTCGGGCCAAGCGACAGCCTCGCCGTCCACGCGGTCGGAAAATGCGCTTCGCCATGGACGGGAACGAGTCTAGCTGAGGTCAGCCGAGCCTCCCCCCAAGGTCAAACTCGAGTCCCTTAAGCTTACAACGTCGCGTCGCTCTCGAGTCGAAGGAAATCGGATTCCGCTCGACCAGGATATTATCCTTGGAGGAAAGGAAGCGCTGATGAACGCACCTCGGCGACGAGGTCCTCCAAGGTGGACTGCTCCGCGTAACGCCTGTATCACGCTCGCACACGTGACAGCGGCAATTCTCGAGAGACACGATTTTCCGTTATTTTTCCCGAGGTTTATATTGGCGCCTTTTTCATCTCTTTGGGCGGTTTAACGGATGCACGCGATATCCTAGCCAAGCCACTTTCGAACTAGGATTTAAGGAGATAAGCGATTGGATCAACGTCGCGAAGTAACTAATAAATAAAATTTCAATAATTAATAATTGATGTGATTTGTCTTTAATTTATTGAATGTCGGCTTTGTAAGAAATATCCGTTATAAATTTGTGTACAAGAAAAGACGAATGTTAAGGTGATTGTAAATTTCTCAAAGGCAAGGTGGGTATATATTATGTGATTATACGAATTTTAAAAGAGCTAATGAAATGAAAAACAATGAATATAGATTGAAGGAGCGATGAAAGATCGATATTGCGTTGCACTACACTTTTACGGTTCATTAATACTTTAATTTATTGTACAATACATTAAACACTGCTTAGAACAATTGGAAATTAGGATAAATATTCGCATTAATTCGCTTTAACATTTCATAAGTTTTTTCCCAATAATATACTAGTATATTACATGAAACAACCTACATTTAAATATCAGAAAAACAAATCCAACTTTCAAATTCAATCACTGAATTAAACATGAAAATTATGAAAGAATAAATGAATTCTGAATTTCTTCTTTTGTAAATTTTTTACTCAAAAAATATCCAAATTGTGTTTTATAATTTAAAAACTACAACTATCACTGTACAGAAGCAGCGGATAAAATTAAAATTTTACTTTCTATTAAAAAAGTTTTCTTAACTCATAGAAATTATATTATAATTTATAAAATCATAAAACTTTTATAAAAACTTTCTAAAAACGAATGAAAATTGAAATACCCGAATTTATTCTTTAAAATGAATACATTTATTACACATTTATGTAAAAGCATTTTAATTTTACAAAAATTTATTCAATAAATAAAAGCCAAATAAACTATAGAATCAGCTAATACAAGTAATAAAGTCTTAAAATTTATAATTTTTCAATAAAATTCTATGTGTATTTTATATAAATTAATCATATTTTTTATATAATGTATATTTTTTATTTAACAAATTATATATTAATCTTTTTTAATTATATTTATAATGAATTTTTCGAGCATGTTTTCTTTTAAGAATGAAAGAATTATATAACGGCTAAAAGAAAATAATTTTACTCGTAGTTAATAAATATTTTCCTATAATAATGTAGTATCTGAAAATTTTCCTCATTTTTATTCTTATAGTTCACGTTCGACATATAGTTTCTATCATTTAATACATTTTTATAAACTACATCTCCGAATACCATTACTATTACTATTTAAATAAAATAAAATACACTTTTATGTATTAAAAAAATGTTGCTATTGTAAGATAATCTAATTTGCGAGCACATATATTTTGTACATTTATATAAGTATTTATACATATATATTAATAAATATAACAAGATATTCAAGATTAATTCAAATTCAAACTTTTTAATATTTACCTTTGTATTATAGGTAAACAGTAATAATTGAAAATTTATGACCAAATCTAGCTTTATCAAAAATAGATGTGAAGGAAATATCAGTTTCATATCTATCAATAGTGTAAATGAAAAGAAATCATTGGTTTATTCAAGGATGACGTGGACACTCGAATTATTGATAATAAATTTGTTCGGCTTTTAGTCGAATAAGCACTGAGCGCGTTCCACACGCCAAAGTCATCATCCATTTACACAATATAGACTCATTACTTGCATGAGGCTTTACTACAGTAGAGAGAAAGAGAGAGAGAGAGAGAGAGAGAGAGAGAGAGAGAGAAAGTGAGAGAGAATGAGACAAAGGGAGGAAAATAGCGATAGAAAGAAAACTAATATTGTTAAATTGTTAAGTCCACCGCAATTCCCATTAGTGCAGTAGGAAAATTTGATCATCCTCTAATAATCAGTAGAGTTCGTGAAGATGGACGAGGACAAAGTGATACTCATATATTCGTATGTATGATCTTTATATCTCTATAAAAAGCAAATAAATCTAATAAAATGTTCAATTAATTATCTAGTGTTGAGAAATAAAAATAATGCTTTAATATTAAATTATTATGAAGTAAAAAGATTTAAAAAAAAAAAAAAGAAAATTTAATAACGTTTTCGCTCAACAAAGAATTTGCTATTTTATTTTCAATTGTATATTTAACTAATGAGAAATATAATTTCATCCCATAATCGAATTTACTTTTAGAATAAAGTATATTTACATATTTACTTTACAAAATTAGCAATCAATTAATAATTAATACTTCTGAGCATTATAATTACTTACAGAAGATTATCTATATTGTGGATAAGTAATTTTTATATACAAATCCTTATTTTACTAAAATTTATTTCAATACAGAATTTAATAAATATTATTATAATGATCAAACGAGAAAAAATATTTTAAAATAAATTTCACGTACAATGAATAGTTCGTTATTTTCCTTCATTTTTTTTTGAGACTGTATTCGTGTATATTAACATTATTCATAATATCGTACTAATTTAATAATAATGAAGCATTGAATGTGCGTATAATGAAAACTATGTTTATTCGATTAAAAACATGAAATGTCCATCAACACGTACAGAATTACAGGTCTATTTGCTCATATAATATTAACTTACTCTCTCTCTCTCTCTCTCTCTCTCTCTCTCTCTCTCTCTCACCCATATTTATTCCTTACATTTAAAAAAAATTTTGTAGGGTAAATTTTATAGAATTACTTATACAATATGTAGAATATTATATGTAATGCTTTAAAAATATCTTTCAATGAATTGAAACTTTAGACTAAGACGACTCGAGCGAGGAGAAATAATCCAACGGGGAAGGAAGAAAATAGGAAGGTGCAAGATCGGCATTAAAAATTGCCATGGGTCGAAAGTATAAGCATCGCACAATACCAGAGCAAGATCGTAAAATATGTGGGAGCATCTGCTTCTGCCAATTCACAATAGTTATTAGTTGCGTGGCATTGGTGTATCTAAGCGTCGCGATCTACATGCCCTCGCATAGGTAAGAGCATAAAAATGTCGTTAACCCAGATGCGACGGGTAGTTTTTATCAATCGTTAGTAATTTGCTGAAGATCATGTGGTATTTATATGCCGTGGCGTAAAATATTCTTGGACGTGCGTACGGAAATGTTATGATGAATCTTGCGACTTTGAGTACAGCTGGAACGATCTTGTATATGTGTAGCTTTTATCTGCAGCTGACGCACGTGTTTATATAGGCAGTAAAGACGCATAAAAATGAAATTATATATAATGTGAGAAATTAGAGACGTCGTATGGAAGTTGATAGCTTATTGCTTTCATCGTAAAGTCGAATGTTTTCATGATTTTATACCCGAGTCCAATTATGTTTTAGTCGCTTGCCATAGATGTTCAGTATTGACAAAATTTTTAATTTATAAAGCACTAAACACAATGTAAACGCTTTTTTTCTTACCTTCGTGAAACAATCGTAATGTCACACGGCAAGTTCTTAAAAGCGTTAAATATATGGAGCTTGAAATCGGATTCTATCAATCTTCCTGAATTATATTTCGAAAACTAGTTTCTCATCAAATTAAACTTGTTTATAATATAATAAATAACTTTATCATATTCGAGCATCGTGACACTCCCTCGAATCTTTTACGTCTAAATGATATATTTAATCAATTGTAAGAGCTATCGAACGCGAACGTTAATGATGCAGCTAATATAGAGAAAACGTTCTTACGATGTACATAAATAACGTCGGTAATAATTCGAAGATATCGGTAATTTTAATTTAAGTATATCGAACTAATTTAGATTTAGAAGATTTGGAACTCAAGCACTGCACAGATACACAGTAATGACGATATTTCATGGTGAATATGTATAGTGATTACTGCGTTCAAATATAAAACAACGAATTGATCGCAATAATGGGAGTAATATCAACCAAAGGCAATCTATTCCTTTGAATTATAGAGCTTTTCATGCTGGCATCGAGTCAGACCCTGTTATGTGCCAAACGGTCAATACAACCTTAGTAAACTATTGTTCATGGGCGAGCTGTGGCGAATGGTGCTTGACAAAAACTACAGGCTTTTGTCCACAAATTCACGCAACAGTACGACGTAATGGTACTGACATTCTCCTCGAAAATTGCACGAGAACTGCAAGTGTTTCGTGTCCCATGGTGAGTTATGGCAATATTTTTTCTTCCGTTGATCATTGTCCGTTCGATTAAAAAAAGTTTTAAAAAGTCGGATGAAATTAGCTTGCTCTGCGCGTAAAAATTGAGATTAATTTTATGGGAGTGAACTTAATAATAATCGTTACTGCAAGGACATAAATCTTTTATATACGAGCTTACTAGCTGCCAATAAAAGTATGAACGAGAAGAGAAAAATGTATTTTTTTAAAAAAAAAAAAAAAAAAAAAAAAAAAAAATGTTCAAACGTAATGAATTTAAAGCAAATTCGAAATGAAAGCTTGAAATGTGGTTGGAAAATATTTCGTTGCAATTAAGCACTTAAAAGCGTAGGCTGCGAGTCTATGATCTTAAGCGTTTAAAAATGAATAATAAATAAAATATTAAATATAGAAAAGTATTACTTTATATTTAACTTCATATTTTAATATTACCTTTTTAATGCGTAAGAATAAGTTTATGTAGGTTACGAAATTTTATATAGGTTAACACAACATTTATACAAAGTTCGAAAATTTACTTCAATGAATATTTTAATAAGTATGTCGGTAAAAGTTCTACAAAAATATATTTTCTACAATTATTTTATAAACTCTTTATGCAAATATGTTCGTCAAAATTTAATCAAGAGCGATAAACAGTTTATAAATAAAAACATTAATAACAATAGTACCAGTCATTTAAGATACGAGCCATTGTAGTTGTAAAGAAATTTGAAGATGAAGAAAATCTTAATTAAAAATATATATTTTATTTTCTTGAATGTTCAGCATCGATTATATTATATTATATCTTCGGTTTACTTAAAAAGAAAAAAAATTTTATGCAACATTATGCAATAATTCAATTTGTACTGTAAGCATAAATTTTTCCGCATAATGATTTTGACTCTTAACATTTATTTTGGTAAAATTCTGGGTATAAGAAAAAAAAATTAAATATATTAATCTTCTATTTACGCAAACAAAAATTATACGCGTAATATTATAACAATCGTACAACTATTTGCAAAATTAATAAAATAAGGCATTAATATAATCATAATATATAATTATAAATACCATTATAATATAATCATAATATATTCGATGGTGAGGTTTAATTTGACTAAATTACTGAGAATTAAAGTTAAAAATATACAATGCTTGTAAATAGCATACTATTATGTTTTTTAGAAAATTGTTTTAAAAATTACGAAACGGTAAATTACTTAAAATTTTACACCAAAAATTTTATGCCGAAAATTTATAATGACAATATATTTCGTTTAGACAAAAATAATATTTTAATAATGTCTGCGTGTGGCCATTCTTCATTTTTAAAATCATTTAAAAACTTATTCCAATACCTTTGTTTAATAATAAAGGCAAAATAAGAAATAATTTAATTTCGTTATAATATTTTCAGTTATTTTATAGGCTATGTCAAGTTACATTCCCTTATAGTACGAATTGCCAAATTTATTTCACAACTAACGGTTCTAATTTTTAAAATGACATCAACATCATGTAATATTAACATTTTATTAAGTCCTTTGCAAATTGCAGCCTTAAATATATAATGCCATCGATCTTACCAATAATAGCAACAATTAATATAATAAAGTATACCAATAGTATTGTAAAACAACTACTATTCGTGCATAATATGACACTTTTTATCCCATAAAATATTATGTCTGAAAATCATTCAATTAAAGTACACATAATCAACAAGTATACGAGGACGAGCCGTAGCTTCTCCTTAAATAAACAGCAACGAGTTAATATCGTAGAAAGCACGAATTGTGAAGGAATAATTATTAATTAACCTAGTAAATATTAAAATATCCGTTAAAAATACAATTAAAGCGTTCTTATATATTTATTTAATATTATGTAATTGCCTAAAATATATTAAAGATGGTAGTATGTTCCAACAAATAGTTTTTGCTTCGAATACGGATACAAGACAGCGAACGTTAAATCACAAGTATTTACAAACATGTTGTGTCGCGTCGGTACGTCATAATTAAGAAGGCAAAAACAAAATTTTAATCGATTATTTTAATTATTAATTATGTTCATTGGGAGCTGGACACTTTGTCCTTGGACTAAAAATAAATTGTAGGACCTCGGTACTTCTCGTACCTATCTCGCATTCCATAAAGCACGTTTGGTCTCGAAAATTCCGCCCTACGAGAAGGAAGAAAAAGCTCTTTCTCCGACCCGCGACCGAATCGCGCCTCTCTCACGCACCTCACTCGTCTCAGGTCAACGTCGCCGCGGTGAAGCGATTCAACTGCAACAACGGCAGCGAGTGCGACATGCTCACAGGTGTGTTCGAGTGCAAGCTCGGGCACTGCTCGAACCTCAGCGAGGTGATGCTGTGCCACGACAGACCGGATGGTGCCGTCGTCGATGCCGAGCGCGACAACATGAAGCTCAACGGCAACTTCCGCTGCCTCAACTCCCGCTGTACCCGCATCAAGACGGCCTTCAGCTGCGATCGATACTGCCCCAAGATCAGCACCTCGAACATCAACGTGTTCCTCATGCAGGGAGACAACATCTACGCGGCCTCCTGCTCGAGGGCCCTCGCCCTCAACCGGGCCCTCGGTAACAAACCCGGCGAGCGGTTATCCGAGCCCAAGGAGATCTGGCGCAAGGGCGAGGATGTGATCATCGCCAGCTGCTTCGCCGTCGGCAGGGTCGCCGAGGGTCTTAGGTGAGGTTGTTACGATCGATTGGGCACTGGGATGGGAAGGGGGATCCGCGGACGTCTGGCGTTCCTTTTTCTAAATCCGGAATCCGTGTCGACCAAGACTTTTTGGAACGCGTCGGCTATTCCCAAAGGTCAAATCGCATATTATGGGCGTCAAATGCTTGCTCGTTGCTCTTTGAAACGAATTATTTTAAAACGATTCTCAAGTTACATATATATATATATATATATATATATATATATATACGCGTATATCAATTTAGGATCAGTCGTATGAAAACATTTTATTACCACGGCGATTCTCGCTTTTTGTTTAAATATAATACAAAGAAACAGTGTACAACAGTATTAATTTACACTCGATGTTGTAAACATGAGTAGATTTACTTTTATAGGCTAAGAGGAAATGTAATAGTTGTATAACTTAAGAAAAGGTCGTGAAAAAATATAAAAAGAAAAATTAATTATTTTATAATTTTTGTTCTATATAATTTAAGTTGGAATGAAGATTATACTTATATGAAATTGATAAAATTGAAATTTCAAATTCACACATATTCATATTTATAATTTTCATGATTGAGCCATGCCGTATTGATTAGAATTATCTAATCTTAATATTGAAATTAACACGCTTATAATATTTTACGAATAGTTTGGAATCTTTGAACTAACAAATTAATGTTTATAAAGAAAGTACTTTGGAAAATATTGATAATAAAATTTGGAAGGAAAATAGAAAATATATAAAAATATATGATAATGATATATTGAAAAAATCTACTTATCATAAATTTTTCATACAATTTACACATTAATGTAAAAAAGAATACTCCATTTAGAATTTTAGAAAAAATTTCAAATTATTATTTTCGATTAATTTTAATTCAGCTAATTTTAATTAATCTTAAGATGAATCTTAAAATGAAAGTAACTTAATCTCATAAGAAAAGCACTCTAATATTTCTAAGGTAGTCCATTTTAACATAATTTAATTATAATGCGGACATAAGCAGATTATCTGTTAAAATATACGGTAAAAAATTTTTTATTATAAATTATTATACATTCAACTAATTGCAATTGTACTACTCCTTACATTTAAACATATTTTATTTATGGTATTTTAAAAGTTAAGAATGTATACTATTGATGGAATTATTCAATGTAATTGTTATATACACTGTGTAAGAAATTTTCATTTCATCCAATAATTAATATTGAAAACTGCAATTATTACAACACTTTCATAATATATCCTAAGTCGCCGATTTGAGAATAACGAATAATTCAGTATTCTCGAAATTGATTTAGGGAGTTCAAAAAATAAAATTAACAAGTTACGGGAATAGGAAATGAAAATACATGCGAAGTGCTTCGGCATAGATGAAATAAAAATTGGAGTAAATGTTTTTATTAAGAATTTTAATCGACGAGAGAACAAATTTTTTTTTACATTTATATTAGTAGTTTTTAATTTTTAAACTCAAATTAATGTAGCTAGTGTTTAGAAAAATATATAATCATCCTCAAAATTATTGTTTAATTATAAAAGTTGCGTTTACCTTAATTTATCAAGAATGAAAAGATTTCTCGGATTTTATTTCAGCATGGAAAAATAATATTACATTTGGAAATTATATATTTTATAAATATGTGTTTAACTAAGTATAATAAAACATTACTTTAAAATTTATTATATAAAACAAATTAAATTCCTTTTTTTTTTGTCGTCATAAGTATACATTTAATATGTATTGTCAGTTTCAAAGACATTAAAAATCAAAGTTTATAAAAGGAAAGACTTGGAAAATAGACTAAATATATTGCAACACTTTTTTCGGAAAGTCGTCGTCACATTTTTATAGTTCTACACTATATGGAACTATAAGTTTCTTTTATTTCCAAAATTACATCACTTTACGTTTGATCCACACATTTTATTACTTCTTAGCAATGATATAATGGCGATGGATTAATTTTATCGACACATCACAAAAATAATTTAATAAACTTAAAATTCATAATTCAAATACAAAATGAAGTATTTTATAAACTGAAAAAATTCGAAATAAAATTCACATAATTATTATTTCAGCGAAGTGAAATATCTGTACTCAAATGGAATAATAATTATAAATTAGTTTTGGGAATAAAGAAGTTTTACATAAAAATACATGTACGTGTTATAATAATAAAGAAAATCAATGACCTTTGCAGACAATGTTTCTGAAAAAATACTGATATCTTTAAGGATAAACGAAACGAACAAGAACATTACAGATTTCAGTAAAAAGAAATAGCAAGAAGAAATAATATTGGGCGGCAATCGATCGAAGTTTTATAAAGAACATAGACGTTTCTGTATATAAATTGTTAAGGAAAATTGAAAGAATCTGAAAACAAATTTTTTTTTGGAAAAAATTGGCCTCCCACATAATTTTTTGGCATAATAATATCGTATATTAAACATTTTATACAAAAAACAAGCCTTTTTTAAAATATATAAAAATTCTACAATATTTCATATAACAATAGTTATTTAAAGAATATTTCAAACAATTAATACTACAAAAGTGATATTCTCATATCATATTAATTAAATAAAAAGAACAATTAAATCATAATCTATGCATATTTATTATTCATAAATATAATTTTGTTAATTTTCATTTTCTATACATTCTCATGAATTTTGAAATTGATGAACTTTCTCTTTGAATTAATGTCTCTATTTTTAAATTACGAATTTCTATATTCATTGTTTATGTTATCGAACCACTCATTTGCATATCCAAAAGGACGTATAAACAGTAAAATTATTATAGCTATTTCAGTAATTTAATGTATTATTATTTACCAAAGGCGTGTTAATATTAAATATTAGAAAATATTATAGAAACACCGATTGATTTAATTATTAATTTGGAATGAATTTATATGCATATCCGATTATACAATACATATAAAAAGTGCATTATAAAGCTATTTATGCGAATATTAGAAACAATAATATTACTACTTTATATACACAAAAAATTCATTACAACCAAATGAAATGTAAGTTAACAATAAAATTTTAATTATTTAACACTTCATCTATACTAATCATTTTGATAAATTTCAAAGTAATTAATTATTTTTGTATATGATTTTTACGCTCAAAATTTCTATGCATTCGTTCACTTTTAAATATTAAGTCTAATATTTGTATTCCTTAATTAATTAAATTCATTCTTCTACTTTCAATTTGAAATTTAATTCTTTTATCTTACACGTTTGTTTTTTTTTTTTTTTTTTTTATATCTAGTTTGTTTTATTTTTATACGTCTGCTGAAGGAATTCCATTAGTATGTGTTTATTAATTATATGTATTAACCAGCGGAGTATTATCCTAATTTCATTACATATCAATAAGAATTATATATAGTCTTTTATGCATAGAGTATCCAATTAAAAATAACCATGACAATTAACTTTAATAATAATCAATATATAAATTCATAGACTAATACAGCTGCTTAAAATATTGGCTAGAGTGTTATTATTTTCAAGAAACTACTTTAAACTAAAAATCAATATTGCTAATTTAACGTGCTACTGAATTATTTCGACACTATCATTAAACGAGCTTTGAATATTTTAAATATTCAAAGTATTTGTATGCAAAGTACCAATGAAAAATATTTAAAATTTGAACAATTAATAAACCTATGACTATCGTGAAAAATATTTATATTTAATTTATAATGTATTAAATTATCTATAGAAACTTATAGTCGCTTATTTCGTGAATTAAATTCTAATTTATATCTCCAACGAAAGTTTTCAGTTAATTTTAATTGATTAGTACAATTAGCTAAGACCGAAGAGAAAATTCAATCTAAATTAGGAATACAGATACTTTTAAGTTTACTTTTTAAATTAATTATATATCAACTTTTGCTTAAGCTACAGTCGTTACCTTTTAATTATGTATGCCCGTACCCACTTTAGTATTTAACTACATAAAAAATTATATTTAAATGTCTTTAGATAAAAAATATTATTTACTCGAATTTAGATAGTATACAATTATGTAAAATAACGTTGATAAGAAAGAACAAGCACTAAGAAACAGCATTACAATTATGTAATTGGCGAGTAGAGCACTAGAAAATAAATATAATATAAGCAAAATATATTACGTAAATCGAAATTATCGATACTATTTTCGATTTTTAAAAAGAAAAAAGAAAATCTCCGCACAACCGCAAGGTTAAGAGCATCTCTAAGACGCGGATTCGGCAACTTGTTATTGCCTACATTGTTTTATTTCTGCTCCAGAGCCGAGGACTGCGTAAACGGCTCGCTGATGTCCGAGCTCCAGGTTCCCCAGCCCTTCCTTAACTTCACGACATTTTTGTCGCTGTATGAGCGCAGTTTGCCACGTCAGGTGGATCCGGGCGACAGCTTTCTACCCTCCCAGCGCTCGCTCACCATATACAACAACTCCAGGCTTTACATCAACCTCGAGGGTTGCGTCAACACTTTACGCGGCGAGTGCCGGGACTTCCTCGCGAGTCACGGGGCCGACGGTGATAACCAGACCGCGCAGAGTAGATATCCTTGCTATTACAATAAGGTGGGTATTCCCGAGGAAGATTCTTGCCAGCGAACATTCGCATCCTCAATCCCTTATTATGTATTCCGATGTTAATGGTTATCAGACGAAAATATTGATCAAAGAGAATACCAGGCGGCATAGATAAGACGCTCTAATTAAATATAAGGCATTTGTCGTTTTCTCTCGGGTCGTAATTTATAATGTATTTGTAATTTCTTATTTATTTTCGGTCACAATTAGGGAATCAATGAGCGTGATGTGGAGCATTCGGTACTTATCGACAAACTTAGTACTGTCGGTCGTTATTTGATTTATGTTATCAAAATGGTTATGCAGTACATTACTGCAATTCAGAAGATCAAATGAAAAATGGTCACATCTATGTTACATTAAATATAGTTCACTACATTATTTCATTTTGAAAAATTTAATTTTAATAAATTTTTAGTACATACGTAGAAAGAATTGCATTAAAACATTATATTCATTATTTTTAGATAAACGATAAAATCACTTTTAATGTCGAGTTTGTTTTTGTGAACTTAAAATGGTAAGAATTGGTTTATATGTTGAAAAACTAGTGCTTGCCAAAATCAAAATAATCAATATTAAATATTCATTAATCTACCTCAATACAATATAACGTATAATATTTTGTAGAAATTGCTAAATTCGAATAATTTCTAATAATTATTTATGGATTGTTTAACCATTTAATTTGAGTTCATAAAAAAAAGGTTAAATGTGCTTACTATAGAAAATAAATAATCAATTTCATGTTACGTATTTGGTCAATTTTCCCTCTAGTAAACGTAATATTAGTATAATAAACTAGTATTACAGTCCATATTCTGATAATTTTTTAATTTGTGATTCTATTTTTAATTTAGTAATGTTACTAAGGAAACACATACTTCGGTCAGACAAAATATGTAATACAACTTTTTTATCTTAATATACTTTTTACCATAAAGAACCTCAAGTCATAAAATGATATATTAATAAAATTGAAACTCATGTAGTGAAATAACTTACAGTTGAGTATATTTAATTTTTGAATATATTATAAACATAATTTAAATAATCAACTTTATTGTAAAATCAGTAATAAATAAATTGTTTATTATTCAGCAAAATAAGAATTTTAAATATAGGTAACAATAATTTTAAAAAGTATTTTACGAATTTGAATAATTATAAATTTATGATTAACAATTATAGATAGTATAACAATGTTATATAATGTTTTATAATTTTATTATAATTTTTTATTTTATTATAATTAATAATTTTATTATAATTTATAATTTTATTATATAACAAACAATAACAATGATAACAAGAAAAGCAACTGAAATAAATACAGACCTAAAATAAAAATCTAAAATTACATCTTATAATTTGATTAGATGATATATTTTTATTAAAATTAGCTATGATAATAATTGCCCAAGTTTTTCCATTATTACACCATTATAAGAATATTCTCAAAATACTTTCAAAATTATTCCCATGCTCCGAACAATATTTATTCATGTGATGTGATGCATTTGATCGCTATGAACACTATTGCTATCTTCGTTTAATTACGTATCAAAAAACATTGAGCTAAATTATCTTCCCCAAGGAATTTCCTTCATTAGACAATTTATCTTTCTATTACATCGATTAAACAAAAAACCTTAATAATATTCCTAACTTTCATTAATTTTTCAATGATATATTTATCTGTACAAGAGATCTTTTTCACGTTTTTAAAAAAACCTCAACTTTGAAGGTTTCTGTCTTGAAATTATATTGACATAAATTATAAGTAACAGGAATTTCCATTAAATTCAACGTACTTAACCTTCTAATTAGCATTTTGGTTTCTCGTGTTCTTTTGCCCTCGGGTATAAGCAAGAAGAATGACTTGGCTGAAGTTAAGGCCTTTGTATGCATGCATATTGTACTAAGCCATGCAATATTATTTTCAAAATTGTAATATCTGCAGATACTCCAGTAGAACGAGATTTATGGATTGTCAAAAATCGATTATTTAATATGAAAATACAATATTAATTTGTATTTTAATATATGAATGTATGTTGAGACTGTGTATTAATGCAATTATATAATTAGATACGACCTATTTACATTATAAAAAAAGGTGTGTTCATTTGTAATTATAAATATTGTTGCTTTAGTTTATTTGTCAATTATGATAGTTGTTACAAAATTTTGTCATTTTACTTATTTTACTGCTAATTCAATACTATTATTAAATTTATTAGATCTTTCAGATAATCAGTAAAAAAGATTCTATCGTATTCTAGAATTTTTTATTAAATGAGTAAAAATATTTTCTGTATTATTTCTACATAAATTTTCTATATTTGCTTATTATGTAGAAATTCTTGGGATCTAAAACATTTTAAAGGATGTGTGAACCATTTATAGAATATCATTTAATATATATATATATATATATATATATATATATATACACCCATTTAATATATATATATATATATATATATATATATATATACACCCAAGTATTACATATATATATATATATATATATATATGTATACCCAAGTATTATGAAAAATAAAGATCGATAATACAATATAATATTAAATTATTTTATAGCATTTTTTTTTAATATCTATTATATTATTATCAGCTATTGTCCAATGAATACGGTTATATTTAACAAGTTTTATAATTTACTTTTAAATTACATGTTATCGAATAAATAATATTGAAAAATTTTCCATTTTCCATGTTTTGTAAAGATAATATTGAAAAAACTTAAATTAAATATATGCATCTTGCTCTTCTCGTTCATTCAACTTGATTTCTACTTTATAAATTATATTACTTAAAATTTTCATAATAATTTGAGCTTTTTCATTACTGAAATCAATAATTTTATCATCATTATATGGTAAATAATCATTTCGTAATAAATATAAATTATTTTGGCAAGATATTTACTAAATTTTAAAATGATATTGACATACAGAGGAACGTGAATCGTAATTAGATCTTGCGTTGTCCTCAACGAGCTTGCCATATGATGTTCATTTGATTTTGACTATTAATCAACGATATAATTGGTAATTTGCCACATTTCCAAGGATATGCAGCTATTTGTATATTCAGAAAGAGCAAGAAAATTGATTCAGTAAAGATATCCATCCATAAATATAACGATACTTAAATAAAGATTTTCAAAGCTACTATACAAAATTAAAATGATACTCGATAAACAACTTCAATTAATAATGCTTCTATTTTATATTATATATTTCTCTTATTGTTAACGAGCCAACATTGATAACTATTTATAGAAAAATTTCTAATGACAACATAATGTAAAATTATCGAAGGTAATATTTTTGATGATATGTTTTGTAAAAATATTTGTATCTCCAATTTTTTCAAGGTCAGTACTCGTCTAATTATTACTCATATAATTTCATATAACAATGAAATGATAGTATATGCAAACAATTATTATACATCCGAAAGGTTAGAAAAGTATTATATTAGCATTAATTATTATAAATTTCGATATATAAAAATTCTATTTTAGTAAGTAAGGGGTATAAGTGACGCATTTATATTTTTGATCGACTATTAATATATTACTGCCTTATATATATATAGTGCAGTGATATTGGTACATTTTTTAATATAAATGTGTCAGTCACAACTAGTCGTGATCTGCAGAATATGAGAATAATGGAAAATGAGGCTACCAGGAGACTCGAGAATCATTCAAATTCTGATGAGGATTGAGCGGGAAGGCAGGCAGGGGTTATACGGCGCGAGAATAGTGACGAAAGTAGGAGTTGGTGCGGCCGCGAAAAATAATATTTAATTTTATAAATGATATTATCCTGTTGTTACTATTACAAATTATAATATTTTATTCAAATGATTAAAGTTTAAAGCAGGGGTCAATAAATAGTAAAAAAAGCAATTAAATTTAAATTCAAATTTAATCGAAAACTAGGGTTTTCTCCTCTCATAATAAGTTCGAAACACATTAGGCAATAATTCGCAAATTAGGCAGAATACGATAAGATATGTCATAATGTTCATTTTTATATTAAGTGCCGAGAAACTGAATTAAAAACTTTTCCATTTTCCATGACTTTTAAATGTAAAAATCACGCGGAAATAGCTACTCGGAGAGTCTAAAATACCATGACCTCACATACACCCAAACAAAAACTAAGAGATAAAAGCGGATTCTGCCTTGCCCTTCCAGAACGATTCGTTCTTCGTGGTGGCGCGCTTCGACCTGAACAAGACGCGCACGGAATTGCTGATCGCCGTCATCGTGCCCTCGTGCCTCTTCGTCATCAGCTTAACGACCCTCGTGGTGATAACGCGCTCGGTCCAGGTCGGTGACGACGCCAAGATGCGCTGCCGCTACTGCGTCGACGGCCAGTCGACCGAGGGCGAAGGCGAGGGTCTCGTCGAGAACACGGCTGCTTCGACGCCGTCACAGGGTCGCGCCATAGATACCGAGACCCGGAGCATGGCGCTCTAGCAGTTTAAGCCCAGCAGCAGACTCCGTTACGAGAGGCTGCCGCTCATCGACATCGACGACGCCGAGGATTCGTTCTGAGGAAGACGAGAGCCCCTCGCCTCCTTTTCGATTGACTCCTTCGGCGCTTTTAAGCATTCGCGAGCACTTTGTCATTGTACTTGTTTATCTTTATCTTCGTCCCACGCGAGTAGCCCGCCATTTGTCTGCTAGTAAGGCATTCATCCCCCCCTCCTCGCCCCTCTAATTTTGGCCTCGCGCTCCGCAAAGGACATATTCCCTTTGTTTGGACGATCGTTTCCATTTAAGGTACGCGTAAGCCGTTTTGCCTGTGCAGCAATTACTATTCGCTGGTCAAAATATACGCGAACGATATATCTATGCTGCTGTTAATATGTCTGTTAATAATAATAAAGTCTGATCGAATCAAAAAACATTTTTCAGTAACCACGTCATACGATTACACAATTGTGTACACAACGCAATAATGCCGTTAAAACAATTACTTTCCCATCGAATTTCAAACTAAAATTCATTTCAAATACCGAGAGCGACTAAATATTATAAAGTAATATGATACTGTTATCATTGTTCATAAAAAATTTGGACATCTCCGTACGAAATTTTGTATGATGTGCGATGAAAGCATACGAAAGAAGTGACGTGAAATTTATTGAAATTGGCATAATTATTTTTAGTAATTCATTAGTAACCGTTTTTACAATCTCGATAATAGTACTCACTGTCCGACCGCTTTTTCTTTCAATTAGTATAGAGTACGATAAGCCGAACTAATGACTTTTATTAATCACTTTACGCTTTCATAAATAATTCATAAATATACATATTATGCCATACTACACTTACAAAATACATGATATATTTTATGGGAACATTAAACAATTACAAACTCCAGTACAAGACTCCAAGCCACCGACTTTTTTAAACATTGATAGTAATTTGGTATCATCGCGGTTAATGCTTATGATTATCGATACTATCAATAACAATGAAAGTAATGAAAGTTTGAGAAGATATTTGCATAAATCTACCATAAACTATAAATATACATAAATTGCGTATATAAGTAAATTACATTCCATAAGGCCACCTGTTTATTTAGTAAATTTATTAATACAATTTCAAAAGTTATATTCAGGTGGAAACAATTTTTTTTTCATCGCTTATATTTCACAAATACATGTAATTTTAATACTTTTTAAATTTTTTAATTAATCACAACTACCAACAGCATTCTAATTAATTTCAATAAGATTTGTTATATTCTATTAATTTCTATTTATCCCATTACAATATAATCTTAATACTAATTAACATCTTTTATAAATATTATTTCAATAACTTTTATAAAAGATATAAATTTCTTCAAATAAATCAATATACATGATTTTTCGGAATCGCAAATTAATTTCCGACTTTCAAAGTTTTATATTGTTCTTATAAGATGTAGCAAACGTAAAATATAAAACTATTTAACAAAATTTATATAAAACTAAACTCGTGCTAATATCGCCTAATGACATTTGCTATATATATATATATATATATTTGTCAACCCTTGAGGGCCTAAAGAAATGAAAGATTTATCATAAATTTCGGTGGCCTTAAATGTCGCAATTTTCTTAATGTTTTTTCAGAGTATTCGACCATCAATTATAAACACTATATACATACATTTTTATACAGAGATTTTTTATTCATTTGTGACAACTTATTATTACTATATTTCAATATCCTCGACATTTTCTTATTAAATTTGTTCGTATTGAAATTAGATATATATTTTTATGTTATATCAATATTGTATATTTAGCATTAATTTATTAAAGAAGATAAAATTAATGACTTGAGATTTATATTTATCCAAATTTATTTACATTTCAATAAAGCATTCTGTATAACTGACACCAATCCGAAGGAATCCTAAGTAAAGTTCGGTTTCTAATTTATAATTTAAATACAAAAAACTTATTTTATTGACTTTGAATAAAAATTTCAATATTTAATATTTTTGTATCATTTAGCGAACTATTTTTTTTCATGCTAAAAGGAAAAACTTATATACAGCCTAAACGTGACAGTTTCTACAATTGCTATTGAGAACGGTCATACAATGTACATTACAGTAATTATCCTTGGTTTATTAACGTAAATGTTTATAGAAATTAAATATCAATACCGAATTTATTTCATAATATATAACAATTTCTGTGATTGAAGGAAGACTATATTTCATATAAAGCATGATATAATATATATTCTGTTATTAAAAAATTTAAAATAATCAAGAATTATTAAGAAAGCTGTAATAATGAATTGTTTGAGTCTACGTGATATCTATTTGAGTCATTTAGGCGATAATTTTAATCTATAAATTATTAATTTATATAATAATTATATTTTTCAAATTTCAATCTAACAATATTTTCGAATGAGATTTAATAGTGGAAAATAAGATTTATCGTATAATCATTGGCGTAAGATCTTATTTTCAATTATTATATATGATGTAATTATCTGAGAAAGTACATGGCAGTGATACTTAAAATAATAAAAAATCTTCTGAAAACTTTTAAAATTTTAATAAAAATCTGATAAAAATCGTGGTTTATAAAGAAGTAGCATTGTATTTAGCGACCTAGTGATATAATATTTTTATGATAAAAAAATTTACAGATTTCGACTGCAGGAAGCTTGAAAGAATATTCGTGTGCGAAGCATTTTATTCGTATCACTTTTCTTACATGTAAACACCCCAATCAATACGTATAACTACAAAATGATTATTTTAACGTTTCATGACCACGTATGTAGGTACATGGTTAAAATTCAATCGATAATACTTAATTGAAAATCGCTGGTGTCCTTAATATTAAGGAATAAATATGAAAAAAAAACAAGAATTTTTCTATTTTTTAAATTTTATTTTGTTATTAATTTATATATTTATATAAATTATTTTCATTAATTTATAAATATAAAATTTTTCAATATAAAATTTTCCATTAATAACCATATTCGTTCTGAAAACAATTCTAACACAATTGTTAAATACCAATTATATACAAACAAATGTTATCATGATTAGTTATAATATTTATAATTTTATAATATAAATTATAATTCTCAGAATAAATATATTTATCGAACAAAAAAGACAATGACTTATGATTATTATTTATCGATAAGTTATTAATTTAAATCTGCTAATGTATTATAATTATATTTATTTTTACGATTTATTCAACATGAGGAAAAACAGATACCCCGGCTTCATTTAGTTTTGGAAATGTTTTTATGTCATTTACATAGTAATTCCAAAGTTTTTAATTCTTTTCGTGCTGTATGGAATCGTCATTTTTCGTCAACTATACGAAAGCTTTATGAAAAAGACAACCATAATGTTAATATAAAATAAAATAAATTAAATCACAATAAGCCTAATGACTACTTTTCGAGGCTATGTAGTAAATAAATATATAACGCATCGGTAATAATTATACCGACATACTGTAAAACTATCTTTCAACGTACTGTATTCTATGTGCCTTCTTGCTTTTAAGTTCATGCCATTTTAATCATCCAGCACTTGTAAAATCGAAAGCAGAAGATTTCCACGTAAGCATAAGCGTAATATAAATCTAATGAAATATATTGTATATTGTATATTGTTGTCTGTACGATAAAAATGTTTATGATACCAAATTTAAAAATTATTTTACTATTATAATATGAAGATTGTATTCTACCATGTCGAACTTTCAATCAACATTCTATCACTGTGAATAATGTAATCCATTTTCATTCATAATTAGCACGTGTACCATAAGTGTTTTTCTAAAAATAAAATCTGTCGAATATTTATGTTATTATTGTTATTTCATTGATGATAATGAAGTGTCTCTCAATTTCTTTATTTCTCCTTCGGCTTTTCAATCCTTATTAATCGAATTAGCATCTTAATCTTTCCCAATTATCTGTGTTTGTCCTGTTTAGGCAACGGTAGTTGATTAAAGCCAATAGAGATTTATTTAATTTTATAAGAATTACATATCAAATTCAATGTATATATATAAAATTAAAATTTGAAGTATAATCTTATCAATTTATGAATATAATTATGTGTTCTCATTTTCTGAGAATAATTGTTTCCCTTAACTCAAGATCAATATATAGCATTTCCACGAGTCGGAAGTGCGCATGTCAAATGCACCTATTCAGCATGTTTGATAATAGCTATGGGAATAACTTGCTCACATATTACATCGTGACAGTAAGTAACTATAATATATAACTATAAGTTTTATTAAAATAATTTATAATATTTATTATATATTATAATAAATATAAAATTATTATAATAAAGTTTTATTAAAAAAATAAAAAATATATATATATATATATATATATATATATATATATTTATATGTAACTAAATTATGCACTTTACTTAACATAAAAAAATATTCACAATATGATATTATGCATTGTACGTATGCATTTAGATAAATTTTCTATATTCAATACACATCAAGAATCTAAATATTTTTTCAAAATTATTAGTATTAATTTATGTAAAAATTTATACGATAATCTAATTATTTTCTTATCTAATTTTAATTATCAATAAAACTTGTTTCAATGGATCTACTTAAAGTCATACTCAGATTATAAATTCTGATTTAAAAATTTAAACAATTCGATCAAGTGAAAATTTTTCAAAATAAGAACGTATGTAAAATGACAAACTGCAATATATTTTGGTAAAAATAAAATTATTTATAATAACATTGACATATTTTTCATATAATACGTAATCTACAAATGATGTCGATACCATTGAATCCAAGCAAATCTATGTTACATGAGAGGACAGATATAGAATGTGTAGTGGTACTTTTGAGTTAGAACATCTTTATGTCATATATATCCTACATAGCCTTACAGAACTACAAAGTTATGTACTTATTTATTATTTTACAAAATTATATAATGTTTGGAGATTGATGGATGTAATGCCACACTTTCCTTTTTAAATCCTTGATTATATGTTTTCATGAAAATTAATTAATTAAGATATTATATTCGAT